TCCTGCCCTTGACACCCAGCTCAGCTCTTGTAAACTCATCACTTTCTTTCTGGAATTGATCCATCTCATATTTGGTGTTCCCCTTCTTCTTCTGCCTTTGACTTTCCCAAGTATTATTGTCATCTCCACTGAGTTATGCCTTCTTATAATATGCCCAAAATATGACAGCTTCACTTTCTTTATTTTTACCTCCAGGAAAAATTCTGGCTTGACTTGATCTAGGACCGCTTGTTCATCTTTTTTGTCAGTCATGGGTATTCACAAAGCTTTCCTCCAGGACTATGTTTCAAACACATATATTTTCTTCTTGTCAGCTTTCTTCACTGTTTAGCTTTTCCACCTATGCATAGAGCTCTCGAATACAATAGTGTAGATGATCTTGGTCTTGGTCTCCACTGAAACAGCCTTACACTTGATTATCTTTTCTTGCTCCTTCACTGCTGTCCTTCTAATTCTCATCATCTTGTAATTTCTTGGCTGCAGTTTCCCTCTGAATTGATGGTTGAGCAGAGGTATGTAAAATATTTTAAAATTTCAATTTATTCATTGTTGACCTTAAAGTTATAGAAATCTTGTATAATTACTGTTTTTGTTTCCTTAATATTCAACTGCAGTCCTGCTTTTGCACTTCTTGCACTCTTCTTAGGTGTTGCTTTAATTCATTAATTCATCTACATGCCAGTGTGGTGTAGTGGTTAAGAGCACAGGATTGGATTCAGGTGATACAGGTTCTAGTTCCTACTTAGCCATGGAGTCAGTTGGGTGACTTTGGGCCAGTTGCAAACACTCAGCTCAGCCTATCCCACAGGGTTGTTGTTGTGGGAATAAGATTGAGAGCAGCAAGAGAAGAATAACGTAAACTGATTTGAGTTCTTTGTAATACAAAAGGTGGGATATAAATTTAATAAATAAATAATCCCCCCACTTTATCCTTTCATCCTAATCCAGCTTTCTGTATATTTTTTGTGTACAGATTGAGCAGATAGGGAGATAAAATACACCTTTGTCTGATGCCTTTTCTTATATGAAACCATTCTATTTCTCCACATTCTGTCCTAACAGTAGCTTTTTGTCCATGATACAGGATGATAAGTGCTCAGGGACTCCCATTGTTTCAGAACCATTGATAGCTTCTTATGATCCATACAGTAACATTTTCCAGGGCTACAATGTTTTTATCCACAATTGTTTGGACTATTGTACTACGGTCAATCATGTTAGAAGGCATGATATAGAATAAGAACTTATAAATTATTCTTCTAAGAATATAAGTATTCTTCAATTATTCCTGAGAGATCGTTTGAAAAAATATTAAACGAAAAACACATATTTAGGTTAACAATTTATTTGGAGAAAATGGATAATAATGAAAGGACACTAACATTACTAGGAAAAGAAAAAATAACTTGGTTTAATGTTATACAATTAGAACAATACATTAAAATGGATGAAGAAAAATGGTAAATTTAGAGATCTTACCAAATTTGAAGAGATTGTCATATAGGGAAACTCAAGACCCTATGCAAACAAGCGGGATCATAAGGCAGATTGACAAGATTCTAATAGATATGGGGGACCAATATGATCTTCCTAAAATTTCATGGGAAATTGATTTAGAGAGGGATATAGACAAGGAAGACTGGGGAAAATGGGATAAGGGAATACTAAAAAGTTAATCAATCAGAATTAAGGATTTTTTTTTAAAAAATGGTATGGAAATGGTATCTGATGGCAATAAAATTATTTTATATGGATAACAAATATTCCAATTTATGTTGCAGATATGGGCAAAAAATGGGTCCCTATTTTCATATGTGGTGGGAATGTGAAAGTATTAAGAAATTTTGGATAATGGTTTTTAAGGAAATTAGCAAAATTAGTACTCAATTTTAGTACTCAAAAATTGAAGCAGATCCTGAAACTGCATTATTGTAAGGAATGGACATGGAATAGTAAAGAATTAATAACAAACTTGGTAAGAGCAGCAAGATTAAGATTAATAATATCAAAGAATTGGAAGGAGAAATGGAATTTCCAGTTAACTGAATGGTCTAAATTAGGACTATAGCTGTTAATGATAAGTTGATGTGTGGAATTAAGGTGAAAAAAGGGTTGACAAATAGGAATTATTTTAATGATATATGGGATGTGTATTGAACACATAATAATCATAATAATCATAATCATAATAATGATAATATAAAAAAGACATCCAAAGGTTGTAATTTGCAATTTTGGATGGAATCAACCCAATTTTGGGTAGAACAGGCTTTTCCTGAAAAAGCAGAGATTTAGAAGAAAAAGTAAGGGAGAAGAAGGAATGTAGTCATGGTCCTGGTGGAGGGATGCACTAGTTTTCTGTATTTTTTCATATTTTGTTTTGTTCTTTTTTTCTTTATGATGTATTCTTATATTTGTATTGTATTTTAGTAGTGTATTTCATAGTATTAAATAATATACATTATTTTATAAAATACGTTATTCTTCTAAGGCCCACATTGAGAACCCTTTTTCCAGTTTCCTGTTGGGGAACTGAAAAATCAGGCATGGCAACTTTTTCTTGTGACCGTGCACTTGGCTGTGGACCAGATTTATGCATGGTATACATGTCGCCTGTTGCTTACAATCTTCAGTGGTAAACTGAAGTGGAACTGAAACAAAGACTGTAATTACTGTTTGTTTCCCTTTCCTCAGGGAAGTGCTTAATTCTTTCTTCTCTTGAGTTGGGAAGCTAGAAGTGTTTGCATAAGATTGTTAGTCATCCAGTCCTTGAGGTTACTTTGAGCTAAATCATAATGCCAAAACAGAAGAAGACTAGTGTGTAACAACATTACAGTGGGACAACGGTGAAGGAAGGAAGGCAGTTGGTAAATGTAAATACTGTGGGCAACAGTACAGTATGTTAACAGTGCAACAAGAATGAAGAAGCTTTTCATAACAATTAGAAACTTTCCTGAAAAGATGCAAGACACATCTTGAGTACTATGAAGAAGTGGGGGTGCTTATTCTTTAGAACACTGGAAAATTTTCTAGTTCTACTTTTCCTGGAAAACCCACATCACTGTGAGGTTGTTACACCAAGCCAGTCTTTTCAAAGCATCTAAATCAAGGGTTGACCTAGTTCCATTACAAAGTAAAAATTGCTGAGATTGCTTAGTTGCTGAGAGTGGGCTTTTAGGACTGGAGAAATAGGGTAATTGGTTTCTCAAGGTTTTCTTGTTTTCACATCCTATTATATGGAGTGTAAGGAAGATCCTATATACCCACAGAAAACCAAGAATAAAAGCATGAATGAAAACCACACAGTTTAAAGTTCTTTCAAGAAGTTTAAATTTTTAATTAATCTTGGGTTTAAAATGGCTAATAAAAAGTTAAATTATATCATCTTTAATGGAGGATTACATAGCAGAATATTTCTCTTAAAATTGTCACTCTTGATGGGTTGAAACTTGTTAAGTTAATAGTGCACCTTTTTCACTTCTGATGGCAGGAAATTCTAGTCAGATAATTTTTGCTAGTTATCTTTTTCAACTCCAATGAGATGACATGTTCTACTCCACTTGGGATTTTCCAGAACTTTTATTAGCAACTTCACTTGTTCATTAACCTCTGAACTCTTCTTCTCCCTTTAGAAAAAAAGGCTAACAAATAGATTCAAGGTTAATATTTGTTTGTAGAAGGTGATGTCTCGGAGGCAATACAAAGGGTGAATAGGCCACTGTTAGCAAGAAGTGTTCCATCTGACTTTGCGGTGGTACTCAGAATTGCAAACTATAGAGCCAGGAGTGAAGTTCATGGGTATTTTGTCTAAACAAAGCTTTCAGCTGTTCAAATAACTTTACGAAGGTATTAGCAACAAGGGAGATCCAAAGGCTTAAACACGGATTTCTATGTACACAGCAGATATTTTCCAGCATGCATTATCTCTGCAGCCTATCACACACAGCAATCTAGTTGTTGGGGGTCCCTCTGCCAGAGTGGGATTCAGTATAATATAAATGGCTGCAATTGGTGGAGGAGGTGCAGGGAGAATGGCAGTCATCCTACAGGCAGAAGTATTTTGCACTCATACACATGACAGGATCCAACCCACATACATTACTGCTGCATATACAGAGAGTAAATACTGTGGAATAAGAATAAGTATATGATAAGAGTAGTTCATTCTTGTAGGCGAGGAGGGTTGATTCACTGCGTCTTTGATGTTTGGAACCCTTCATTATGATGAAAAAGTAGTGAATAATAAGATGCATCTTTATCTACAGTGAGCATTTGAAGCACGTATCTTTTTGTGGTTTTGATATGTAGATTTATAATGGACATATTAAATAGCCTGCAGTTGTGTTGGCTCAGAAATCAAATGCAGTTCTTTTCTTCTTAAAAACAAAATCAGATTGAGTAAGTTTTTACTTAAAATGAACGCAGCTCTTTCTCTCATATCGTTCCTTGTATATATCTGATGCTATTAATCTATCAGTACAGTTAATAGATTGAACATAGAATTTCTTTGGTCTGCTACTGCTATCTTATGTAATTCTTAATTTGTTGTTTTATTTATTATTTTAAGGTTTGACTATTCATTGTATTTTAAAATATGTTCTAATCTCCTTTGTCATGGTTTTATCTTGCAGAGTAGCCTAGTCATTTATATAATATTAAAGCAGCAACAGTCTAATGTGCATAGCTTAGTAGAATTCATTTTTCTTTTACTTTGAAGAAATTTTATGCCCCAAACCTGTTTTCACCAAATGTTAGAGGACTGAGGATTGTATTTGATTTCTTTGAAAAAGAACAATGCAGGATATAAATCTAATAAATAAGTAAATAAGTAAGCTGCCTTACCCAGAAAATGTACTTAAACTGTTATTTACACAAATAGCATTTCAGCATTTACATAATATACTACGTTATACTTTTCTAGTTTGAATCAGATATTGTTAGACCTGGTACTTTTGACCTTCATCATTTTTTAAACTTTTCATTTTTTTCTTTTCATATAGGTATATCAGAATAGTTGGAACACACAACACAGTTAACAAGGTTTTCCATATTGTCGCTTTTGAATGCATGTTCACCAACAAATCTTTTACCCTTGAGAAAGGCCTGATAGGTAAGTGATATGATAGAGGAAAACATGGAATCATTGCCATGATAGTAGAATACAAATATCTCACATCTCTTTAACATAGCACTATCTTATCTTAATGCCATTGTACATCACATGGAATAGGATATGCAGCTGTGTATCATCATTTCATTGTGAAGTCTATAAAATGCTGACCATATACTCATTGTCATGTTGGGCTGTACCAGTATAAATAGCTCCGAAATCAAAATGTCAAACACCTTTAGCCTCAGTGTTCAGGACTAGTATAGGTGAGCCCCCCATACTGTACTCATACAAGATCTCTGTATCATATTGTGCCCCATTATACCTCTGCCACATAAGGTTATCTCCTTCAGGCAGTGTGTATTATCATAAAAGTGACACTAGATATGGGTTACCGGGGCTAGTTGGTGACCCTGGTGCAACATTATTATTGTTGCTATTATTAAGAAGCAAGCAAACAAACAAACAAACAAACATAGCCTCTGCTGAGATCGGCAGCAGGGGCTCTCCTCTGGGAGCCTTCCATGAGAGAGATCAGGAAGCAAAGTACCCGGAGGAGGGCTTTCTCTGCGATGGCACCCCATCTGTGGAATGCGCTCCCCTGAGAGGTCTGCCTGATGTCGTTGTTATTTGTTTTTCGGTGCCAGGCCAAGACCTTTTTATGCAAACAGTATTTTAATAATGTTTAATATTTATATATTTTAATTGTGCAGCCAGTGTGTTTCCAGGTTTTAATTGTAATTGTAATTGTTTTATTTATTTCTGTGTGCCGCCCCGAGGCTATGTAGCAAGGGGACGGCATATAAAAACTTTAAATTAATTAATAAATGATGTCTTAGTACTCATTATACCCCATCATAATTAATGGTGATCTAGCAGATTATAAATTCAGATTCTCAGATAAAGCATTTTCTTATCCTTCTTTCACAAGTTCATCCAATGCTATCAGAGAATCTTGATAGTGCTGATTTACTCTTTCAATTGCTGACTTAAATGAGGAGACTTGTTTTAGGTTCGTAATAATTGTTTCCAATATAGTTAGAAAAGCCTGATATTGCAAAACCTCCACAGCTTAAGGTTATAAAGTCTTCAGTGTCTCTTTTATAGCAAGCATTAAATGGTAAATTCGCCCTTCAAAAGCAGTACTGGATTTCCTAAAGAATAATATATTGAATGCAAGCTATCATCTGTGGAAAAGTTTAGCATATAAATGGCATATAGACATGTCCAGAATTTATTTGAATTCTGCTTTGATGATGATGATCAGAACAACTTGCTTTTTATTGATCAATAAATACTATGTAAAAATGTGTTCTGGTTTTAAATACAGTACTTCTAAGTATTCTTCTAACATTCAGTGAATAATTTGTATTAGCACTTCTAGAAATTTAGTTTTAGTTATATAATAAAACAAACTCAAGAGGTTAGATTGTTGAGGGGCACCTTTTTGCTTCATGCTAGAAAGCTTACACAGAAGCACAAATATCAGTGAGGATTTATTGTGATTTATTGGGTTATACAAAACAGCTTTATAGAAACCATTGACAAAACTGAATGGCTACAACACTTTGTAAATCAGGTAGCATTTACTATCTGTAAGCTGTTTAGTTATAGAAAGAGTTCCAAGGCTAGTTTCCATGCAGTATCAATTTAAAATTTTAAAGACCATCAATATAGTTCAAATAATGGGTTTTACTTTATAGAATTCAAGAAAGGTAAGTGTTCAAGGTTCACGTTAAGTCCAAACAAAAAAGCATTATGGGGAAGGAAGGATAACTTTCCCAATAAAAGCTCATAAGCCTCTACACCAGCTCATGGTATGAGATTCAGGACAGACAAAAGTGCAAAGTTCACAATCATAGTCCAGAAAAAATGTCTGATTCATGGATTACAAAGCAGAGATTAAAACAGGGAATGGCCCAAGCTTTAAGATGAGTTCAGGAAAAGTATTTGAAACAGTTTGTTTAAGAAAAACTTCCAAGGATAGAATGCAAGTAAACTCAGAGATTCTGTGTTAGAATCTCAGTATTAAGTGATTCAAACAGACAGGGGTCCAAGAGTCAGAATAAGACCAGGCATGAATGCATTAGGTGTAATCAAAGACAAAGGTACAAGATTCATGGTAGATAAGAGTTCAAGGAAAGTCCAGACAAGAAAGTGTTTTGAGCAGTTCAAGTAATGTTCTCAAAAAAAAACGGTTTCCAGCCAGTTTACCAACTTAATGCAGGGGAAGCCCCCTTACTGAAGATCTATGGTAACAGGGAGATCTGACATGTAAGCTGGTGCTTAATTAGAGAGGTGACACCCCTCAACCACCCCCACTTCCCTAAAGAATCCTCTCCTGCTTGGAAAACTTTTCATGTTGCAAATCAAAGGACTGTCATGTCGCAAATCAAAGCCTTATCTTTCAGCTGTGGCTGCCTTGTTCTCCTTTAGCCTATAATGAGATGAGAGACCAGGTAGAACTAGACTCATAGACCTTGAGTTTCCCATCATTTGACTGGGTCCCAAATTAACCTGTTCTAAACCTGAATCAGAATCTAACTTTAAACCCATAATCCCCACAGTGGCACTAGGGATAGTGGCAGTGAGGCTAAACTGGATATGGCTTCAGATTTAGCTGCATGCAGTGGACTGATGGGGATGGCTTTTTTTCCCACAACAGCCCCTTCAAAATGCTGCATTGAGGATTGGGTAAGTTCTGTTTTTCAAATGTGCTTTTCCAGATTTTCAGAGATACTCCATCTTCTTTAGGCCCCAGATCCATAGTTTGTTCTATGCATCAGAGTCTTCTAATTCGCCGCAGTATTTTTGGAGAATTTTGGGAAGGAGGGGCAGAAAGTCTGCTTCCACCAGCCCTGTCATACATGCCTAGATCTAAATCCACTCTAGTTAACTATGTGTTGCAACATGTTAACATAGATTCATAGATTAATATTATAGTAGAGTTGGAACAGGCTAAAAAGGCCATCTGGTCTAAGTCTCTGCTAATGCAGACTACACCATCCATCTCAGATGACTGTCCAGTTGAATCTTGAATGCTGCTAATGTGGGACGGCCGACAACCTCTCTAGGTGATTGGTGCCATTGTCATACTGATTTAACAGACACAATACTTTTCCTGATATCAAGCTGGAATATAGTTTCTTGTAACTTGAGTCCATTATTTCATATCCTGAAACCAGGGATGATCGAAAAGAGATCCTGCCCTTCTGCTTTGTGACAGCCTTTTAAGTACTTGTAGAGTGCTATCGTTTCACCTCTCCCTCTTCTCAAGGCCAAACATGCCCAGTTCTTTCAGTCTTTCCTCATGAATCCCTAATGCTGTGTCCTCACAACGAAGAGGCTGATTGCAATACATTGTGTGCTATAATTTTTTTTCCTGTGCTTATCTTTTAAAGGGGCTATAGTTTGAATTTGTCATTTATTTTCTTTTATTTAATAGTCCACAGTTAATAACACATATAAATCAGTTCTTCAGTAGTTTAATTGCTGCTATAGTCATTGGCATATATATACCTGGTTCACATGTCACAGTAACCCAGATTTTTTTTAAAAAAAACTTGCTTAATATGAGTGAACCAAAGGAGTAATAATGCACCTGGTTTAATTGCACCTTCTAAGCTTCTCCTTCCAATGGGAATAACTGCACAAGTACCTTGCTTGGTTAGCATTATATCCAGACCAGGTGCTCTGGATTGTCTCTTCCCTGACAAGTTTGTTTTTTACTTACAGCTCTGGCTTGTTCAGCTAGAGAAAACCCAGAGCTCCTGGTCCAGACATAAAACTTACAATAAGTCAGGGTTAGAGAGTCCTTGGCTTGAGTGGGCACTTCCATAGGTAGGAAGAGCCAAGTGAGAGTGATCAGGTATGCTAGCACTCCTGCTCACTTGCAGTAACTCAGAACATTAATATTAATATTAACTTATAATAATTAGGAGTTTGGGTTAAGGAACACTGTCTCACAAGCTCCTACAAGCAAGCAGTCACGCTGCTGCTTCTTTGCATCTCTTGCCCTTTCTTAATGATCATGTGAAAGTCACTGGCCCTTTTATTCCTTTGAGAGTTAGCTTGCCTGAAACTTGCTTAAGTGATTTGTTTTGAATTATGTTTCAAGCATTGTACATTAGAACAGGGAAAGAGGAGACTGAGTGAAAGGATATCTCCTTCCCCTCTAAATACAGAATAAGTGATTTGTTACCATTAAAATAACTAAATCTGTTTATTATTGGAAGTTGATAAAACCAATAATAAAATCAATCTTGAAAGAACACTCTGAAGATTAAGCATTTCAGGTTTTAATTCCAAATAGTACTAGAAGGTGAATGCAGATGCTAATTCTTAATACCTTGCATAGTTTAATTGCTTGCCTACCTTTCCCTGGTGCCTGCTAAGAATGATCTCTTCTCCCCCACCATTCTACACATGCTTTCTCAAAAGTATACAGAGCTTAAATCAGTCTCCTGTGGGGTTAAACTGGAGCCTACAGATGCTAGGTGGGATGTTGACCTGTGAATAAACCTACGAGTCCCTCAGACAATTTTGGGAGGCTATAGGATTGTGTCCTTTTGTTAATTTATTAGTTTCTTCAGCTGTAAGAATATACAAAAGATGATAATAATTTTAAAATTAATTGGTTTAAAGTGAAGAAAAATAAGATAACTATAATGGTATGCTATTTCAAAACTTACAAGCAGGCTAAATTGCACCAGTTCTTATGAGTAGCTATGTTAATGTATTCATCCATAAGTAATAGCTTAGACATGTTCATATTTTAGCTGTTCTGAACATTATATTGTAGTTGCTTCTGACTCTTAGAAGCAACCTAAAGTAGGAAAAAAGTAGGACTAAAATAGTTATAGCCCTGCATATAAGGGGCACATTCAAATAATTTGAAACACTTCCCTCCTTGGATTACTTTAGTGATTGCAATATGTATTTATAATTAAAACAAAAAATGTAACAGATGAATTAATTAAATAGATTGTTGTAGCCATGAG